CGGGAGCCACTACACGGGCCGTCCCTGCAGTCATGCCCTTTTTCCGCGACCTTTCCAAGCCCCAACCGCTGGAGTTTCACGCAGAGATGCTGCTGGGCATGCAGAGACCCCACAATGGCAGCCTGCAGCGCCGGCACACCATGAAGGAGTAGGTGGTGGGCACGGGGCGGCGGGCGACGCACGGGATGAAGCTGCCGGTGGTTCCACTGGGTGCTGGGTGTCCCCCCAGCCCCTCACCCGCCTGCTAAAACTTGCTCTTCCTTCTAGAGCCAAGGACATGAAGAACCGTCTGGGGATTTTTCGGCGGCGAAACGAGTCCCCGGGGGCCAACCCCTCCGGCAAGCTGGACAAAGTGCTCAAGTCTCTCAAGTAGGTGCCATGAGTGGGTGGCGTAGGGATCGGAGGCCGTGGGGGCTTGGGGACGAGCTGCGGTTGGGCTGGGCATCACCTCCAGGGAAGCTGGGGTCACCCTGTTTGGGGAAGCTGTGGACAAGCAGTTTTTGTATCAGAAGGAGCATTAAAAATATTTGTTGGCTGAAAATTCCCTCCCAGGCGGGTGGGAGGTCTGTGCCGAGGAGGTGGCACAGTGACGGCTTGGGCTGGAAATTTTCCTGATGGCTGCTTTCTCCCAGTGCCTGTATGTGAAATTTTAACTGGCTGGAGGATGGTTTGAAAAACCACTTTGCTCTGGAGATGCCCCAGCAGCCAGAGACGAGCCCTCCCTACTCTTGTGCCTGGTGGCTTATCTGGCTGCTTGAACGGGCAGCTGAAATCCCCGCCATCCCGCAGCCTCCTGGGCATTGCCCAGAGCTTTTCCAACTCTTGCTCAGACACCTCAAATGGCACAGCTGCTCGCACAGACCTCCTTATATTGGATTTTCTTCCTGGCAGTCGAAAGGCAGAGGTTTCCTTCCAGCAGAGCCACTGTGCTGCTGCCTGGTGCAGAGCCCGGCTCTGCCCGCAGATGCTCCAGCAATGCTGGTGCCGATGTGCGAGCCAGGGCCAGCCCCGCTGGGACACATAGCATTGCTTTATCGGCTGGAAATGTTTTGCTCGTGCTGTGCAGCGAACGCGGTTTTCGCAGCTTCACTTTGCCAATGCTGTGTCCTTCTCCCCCAGGCCCACTCCTGAGGAAGCTCTCAAGTGGGGGGACTCCCTGGAGAAGCTGCTGCTGCACAAATGTAAGTGTTTGCGCATCTCTTTCACCTCTGTTTGCTGCCGGGGGAATGTCCAGACATGTGCATGGATAAAGCTGGGTTTTCCTGTGTTAATCTCTTCTGGTGTTTGGGGGTAGACAAAGAGAAAAGAGGCTGCCCCTTGCCTGCACCCCTTCTGCTCTTGCCTGGCCCAGGGGAGGATTTTGTGATAAGGGCCGGGGCCCCGTGGGGCTGCAGCCCCCTCCAGCTTGGGGAGGAAAAGGCAGTGATTTGTGTCTGTGCCCGATTCGGGGCTGTGCAGTGGGTCCGTGAAGCAGGATCTGCGTTAGACCGTTCCCCTTCTTGCCTGTCACAGCTGGGGCACCCTGCATCGTCGTCACGTCCTACACCCGACCCCCACAGGGACGGCCAGGGGGTCCTTTCCCCCTTGCTGCCCCCACTCCAAACTCAACCTCCCTCTTGGCTGTCCATGCATGCAACTAGGCTGAGGACTGTGGATTCAGCACATGGATGGCTTGCGGTGCCATGCTTGGCCTGGCAATGCCATCGCTCCCTGCTTTGCCCAAAGGCTCGTGAGGAGTTTTTAGGGGATGGTGCAGGGAGGTAGTTTAGGTTGCACCTTTGCAAGGCTGCTGGGCTGAGGGTCTTGTGGGGCCGTTCCCCGCCTGCGAACCGGGAGTAGAGACGTGCCTCTGTCCCCACAGACGGACTCGCTGCCTTCAGGGCCTTCCTGCGCACCGAGTTCAGCGAGGAGAACCTGGAGTTCTGGCTGGCCTGTGAGGAGTTCAAGAAGATCAAATCCCAGTCCAAGATGGTCTCCAAGGCCAAGAAGATCTTCGCCGAGTACATTGCCATCCAGTCCTGCAAGGAGGTGAGGGCTGGCTCCTGTACTGGCGTGTGGCTCTACGGCACAGCAGTTGCCTTGGGAGCTGCTCACCAGCATTGATTTCTCTGCTTGCAGGTCAACCTGGACTCCTACACACGGGAGCACACCAAGGAGAACCTGCAGAACATCACCCGCAGCTGCTTCGACCTTGCGCAGAAGAGGATTTATGGGCTTATGGAGAAGGACTCGTACCCCCGCTTCCTCCGCTCTGACTTGTACTTAGACATAATTAACCAGAAGAAAGCCAGCTCCCCGCTGTAGACCCAAGGACTCTCTCGGGGCAGGCTGGGAGCTGTGTGTTTACATGAACTCGGGCGGCGGAGGCCTTCCCGGGGGCCGGCGGGAGCATGCCTTCCCGCTGCCGTTCGTGCCCCCAAGCCATATTCCTGCAGCGGATGGGTATGGGGCAGCTGAAGGCACCAAGCATGAGGCCGAGGGGACCAACAAACCAAGCAGTCTGGTACTGCTCCATCGCCCCGTCTCACCATCGCTGGTACGACGCCTTCGGGGTGACTCCGGCATGGATTTTAGCCAGGAGGGAAGCTCCCACAAGACTACTGTGAAGCACGTGCCCGAGCTGTGAGTGTTACTGGAAGGTGACGAGTGATCCCGACTCGGTGAGGAGGAGGAGGAGGACTTTTGTGCAGGGCTCCAGCAAGGTGACAACAGTACCGACATCAACATTGTCCCTGGATAAAAGACATCTGAACTGGACCAGCCCCACGATGCTGCTGTGCTTCCCCGTGCCGGCGATGCCTCTCGGCTCCCCCGAAGCAGCTATCTCGCAGGAGCCCGGCGGTTCCTTCGCTCGTGGTGGGTCGCCCCGGGAGCAGCAAAAGCTGGGTCCTTCCCCTGCGCTGGAGGTGTGCAAGCCAACTGCCTCCTGCTCCCACCCCTGGTTTATTTATTGACCTCCTATAGCTGGACGCGTTGCTGTGTAATAGGAAATCCTCGTGTCCTTTCCCGTTCTGAAATTACAAGTGCAATATTTGTGTGTGTTGCGGCGGAGTTCTCCGACGGAGTGGATGCCTTTTTTTTCCGAGTGCGTACAATATTTTCTAAGTTAGCAGGTTTTATCTGACAAAACGCATTCCCTAGCAGCAGGCCGCTGGGGGAGCCTGGGTGTATATATCATGCCCTGACGATGGAGGGTTTGGTGATGGAGAAAAGCAGCTCTGTGAATCAGACGCTCTCCTTACTCTGGATAACAATACTGTGTTTTGAGAAGCAGGGGTTATTGCTGAACCTGGCAGAGCTGGACAGACTGCCTGCCTCCAGGCACCCAGTTTACAGTGCGAAGCATCTCTGCAGCTAGCAAAAATACATTGTCATGGTCATAGGTAAATAAAAGGAGAATATAATTTCTTGTAGCTGCCTTTTTTTCGTGGCATGTTTCTTAGCACTGGCGGAGCCGGGTGTCCCCTGCTTCACCGAGAAGCGTAAAATCCTGTTTCTGCATGGCTAAAGATGGGAAAATCTGATTCCATGAATTTCTGAGCTGCTTTTTATGACAGAGCAGCTGCCAGATGCTCCTGAGGCCAGGCCTGGGTGTAGCCTTGCACGAATACAGAAAGTTTTGCCCAAAACGAGACTGGTCCCAGCGACAGCATTTGGTGTTTAAACATGGCAGGGCATGAGCCTCCGAACATGGAAATGCCCAGAAACGTAAGTGACCTAGCGTAGCTCTGGGTCCCTCTGGGGAGACACAAAGAGAAGCAACATAAAGCCCAACAGTGCTATTTCAGGTCCCGGCTGCGTGGCTTGGCAAAACTGCTCCTGCCCCAGCGAAAGCAGCTCTGGTGTCTGATGAAAACATTTTGTAAAGGCTGTTTATGGTGCATTTGGTAGCTGGAATGTCTTGTGCCGGTCACCTGCTTGTGGTTGGCCTCAGGTGGCTCACAGATGTGCTGACGGTGTGACGGGGCCGTGCGGGGCCGTGGGGCGGCGTGGTGCAGAGGTGCTGCTGGTGATACCCAGGGATGGAGGTGGTGTGGCTGCCCCAGCAATCCCACCTGGGCACAGCTCTTCCTGGCAGATACGATTTCTTCTGGGGAATTGTCTGTGTTTCCCTCTTTAAACAACCAGCAGGTGATAGCCAGGTGGGGAAACTGAGGCAGAGCTGAGGGCACCCCTCAGGGGTTGGCTGGAGGCAGCAGGGTTGGTGGGACGCCTGCGTAGCTCTCCTGGGGATGCTTTTGGTACCCCAGGGTCGAGGCCCATGGGCCCATGCCTCACCTATGACCCAGTCACCAACCCCGGAGCTGCCAGGACCTGGCGGGTCGGTGCAGCCTCCCTGCGAGTGCTGCGACCATCACCCCAGCTGGCTCCTCCAAGCCAGACCCTCCTCTTTCCTCTAGTGTTACTGGGAGCCTTCATCTCCTTCCCAGCCGGGAGAGTTTCCCTTCATATCTGGCCTCAACACGGATTTTCTTGCACTCTCCCCCTCTCTCCGTCACCCACATACTCTTGACCTCCCCTCCCTCAGCCCCAAGCCATCAGTGTTAGGAAACTGTTATTGCAGGGTCACTTCATTGGCCCTCCCACTTCTCCGTGTCCCCAGGCTCCCAGGGGCAGCGTGCAGGGGGACCCGGCTCAGGGGGCTTTGTACCGGGCAGCTCGGTACCTGCCGTTACCTCCTCTCTGCCCTGAACGCCAGGACCAGCGAGCCCTCCTGTAGCTGTTGGTGATGCCCAGGAGCATCCAACCCGCATAACCATGCCTGGTTTCGAGCCTGCAACCTGCCTTGGTTAAGTGAATTATCTGAGCCCATCTGGCAGGGCAGGCGGCAAGGGCTGGAGCTGCCGTGGGACATGTGGTGCGGGAATCTGGTGCATGACTTTGAATGACCACCACCGACCTGGCTGCAGACAGTCCTTGCAGGGGACAGAGGCGCCGGTGAGTGCAAAAGGCGGAGAAATGGGGACCTGGGGTGACTCCCTGGAGAAAATGGGAATAGCTGTGCATGAGCAACAGAAACTTGGTCATTGCTGTAACAGAATTTATTGCTGGTCTGCCAGGTTAGCGTGAGTCACTCTGCAAACACCATCCCCATGTGCTTGATCTCTAGGAGAGGCAGGGCTTGGGGGGGAGGTGGAAATGCCAGGGGCTTGTCCTGTGTTTTGCCAGGATGGCCAGTGGCCTCTGCAGCAGGACAGGTCTCATCATGGACCCTGCAGTGACACTGAAGCCACAGCTTTGTCCCCTCCATGCTCCAGGAGAGGAGCTGTGCCATCTTCTCCAGGACTTTGTGCCTCAGAGTGAAGGGTATGAGAAATTTGGAGCAAGTGGATGGGAACTGGATGGGGGGACGTGAGCTCATGGAGGGGATTTGTTCTGGGAGGACGTTGGTTGGGATGGAGATATGGCCCCAGTGGCCTGAGCAGCTCCTTTTGCTGGAGGGCTTAGGGGACGGGGAGCTGCTGAGGGTGTTATGGGGGCACTGAGTTTACAACACAAGCACAAAGGGGACAGAAATGTTCTCATTTAGCACAAAATAAAATGTCCAGGACAAAATCCAATCAGGCTGCAAGGGACGCGAAGAGAAGAAATTCTTGAGTTGTCAATGCCAATGCAAAGAGCTTGGGCAATGAAAATGGGAATTAGGTATTCCTAAATCCTAATTTGTGGCACAACCTCAAACTCACCAGAATTGCTGACAGCTGGAGGGATGTTCCCACAGCACCAATGCTGAAATCACAGGGGGTTGCCTGGTTGGGGACGGCCCTGGGGAGGGAGAAGCGGCCTTTTGCAGAGAGAAAGCCATTACCTGCGCCCAAACCACTGCCACTGAGGCCATGAAGGTGGTGGGTGGCACGGGGTGACGGCGAGAGTGGCTGGCCGTCTCGGG